GAGATGACAAAAAGAGTTGCTCTCACCAGGTGTAGTGCTGGTAGACCAGAGGGTTGAGGGCAGAGGCCAGGGCTGAGTGCATGGGGCTTCATAGGCTTTGGGGAGAGGGCAGAGCCCTAGCTCTGGGACCATAAGAGCCATAGGTTAAAAGTGATAAAAGCATGTTGGAGTTGAAGGACTTCACTCTGGTGGCAGTGTGGAAAGTGGACTTGGGAGCAAAGGGCAAAGATGTGGTATTGGAGGCCGGTGAGAGGGCACCATGATGGTGAAGAGGCCTGGGTGAGACCAGGAGATGGGGTTGGAGTCACTAGAAGCTCAAGGGTGAGGCCCTGAACCTGAGGCTGTGCCTGCCACTGGGAAGCAGAGGAGGTAGGGAAGGTCTTGAGTGGGGTAGGGTTGCTGAGGAGCAAGCCCCAAGGGGGAAGGCTGGAGACACAGGGAAACTGAGTCAGTGTCTTCCTCTGAGGAGAGGTAGGTGACACTACAGAAAAAACTTTCTGATAACAGCACCATCTTTTGGAACACACGAAAGCCACTCTAAGGAAGTAACTACTATAAGAGACCTTAAGCTGGCCAGACGTTCCTGGTGCCAGGCCACGAATGGGAGGATCTGGGTAGACAGCTGGGCTTGTGGGCAGAGCAGTCCCCCAAGTCTGTGCTAACCAGAACATTGCCCTTGCCTTGTCTGGACACGTCTGGGGCCCTTGGGCCGTTGCTGAGGTTGTCAGGCTGTTGAGCTTGGGGCACAGAGCAGAACTGGCCTTTGCCTTCCCAGAGCCCCTGCCGTCCTTGGCTGCCCCTGGGGGGCTGGGCCAGGGGTGGGTGGCTGATCTCCCACAAAGCTTTCAACAAGTTCAGGCCTCTCCTCCTTGCTCAGACCCCGCCCCCAGAAGCTGGGGGCAGGGAGAGGGGAGGGTCCTGCTCAGCCCTGTCCCAGCCTGAGGACTGTCTAGAGGGCTTGGGGCTAAAGACACCAGGGCTGCCAGACTGGGCCCGGGCGCCAGGTTTTTCCAGCAGGGTCAGGGCTGGTTCAGAAGCTCTGTGTGGTCCCCGTGGGCAAGCCGAGGGATCAGCTAGCCTGCCTCTCTCCAAGTCGCCTCTTTGGCTGGCATGCTGTCCCCTCTCCCTGGATCACAGGGAAACGTGGGGCTTGGCCAGGGAAAATGGTCTGGAATGGCCCTTTGACATCATCCCTGGGGCCTTTTAAAAATGAGTTTCCTGGTAAGGAAGACTCCTCAGGCCTTGGGCAGGATTCTCAGTAGTCTCCCAGGCTCGCTCAGATCCGACAAACGCCAGCAGAAACCACCCGGCTGCCGGCGTTCCAGCGGCACTTGGAGCCATGGCTGCCCCAGATGCAATGTCAGCAGAACGCAGCAGTCAAGGCCCGGAGGGTTTGCTGAGCCCCAGGGCAGGAGGTGTGCAGAGACACCTACCTCAGCTCGGACTTTTGTGCACGTGTGCGCATTCCAGCTTCTCTACGGTGACTGATGCCACAGGGGCTTGTCCTGAGTTGTGACCATTCAGAGCCTCTGTCGAGTGGGCGGTGTCCAGGCTGCCCCCGAGGTCGAGGTCGAAGTCGGGGTGGGGGCGTACTCTTGGCCTTTCCCACCTTTTTGCCACCTGTTCATTCTTTTGGGACTAAAGAGAGGCACCCACGCTGTCTGGGGAGCTGGGCCTGTATCTTAAAGGCCTGTTGAGGGCCAAGAGCTGTAGAGAAATGTCAAGGAGGCACAGGGTGGGTGGGAAGAGAGACCAGAGTCGGGCACAGCCAGAATCCACCAGGCCTGATCCACATCCCTGTCCCTCCATGTCTAGACTCTGGGGCTCGGGACAAGTTCCCTGCTCCTTCTCATTTCACGTTCCTGAGTGTTACAATAGGTGTGACTGTGAGTCTGCACAGGGTTGCTCTAGCTCCCCTGCATTTCAGGTTGGGGTGGCCTTGGTTTCCCCTCGCTGTGGAGGTGATGCTTCACACATGACCAGTGCTGGCTGTGGGTGGGAGAGGGACAGGGCCCTTGGGGAGGTTGTGGAGCCAGGCTTCCTGGGGAGAGCAGCCACGTGGAGCTGCAGCGGGGTCTGGGCCAGAGGAAGTTCCACTCTGCTGGAGAGCCTGTGAGGGGACAAGTGGGAGCTGACAGCGCCTGCCCACTTAGGGAAGCCTCCAGCACGTGCCAGGGGCTCAGAAGGGCAGTGGTGGCAGGTTGTGGGAAAGTGTGGAGAGGTCTGACACATGAATGCTTTTGAGAGAGGGTTCTGGAGGCTGGATTCACTGTACTAAAAGTGAATATGCCACTGGCATAAGGGGCCCGACCAGGAGGACTAGGTTTAGACCCGAGGCTCTCCCTGCACCCTGATCTTGCCTCCAGGTACAGACTGTGAGCTGGAAGAAAGGGGCTCTGGCTGGCCAGCTGACCTAGGTGGATGAGTGGACAGGTTTGGGCTGGCGGCTGTTGCACCAGATGGTCTGACTCCGAGCGGTGCATTCAGGCCTGGCTCCTGCTGCTCTCCACTCTACAGTTTTGCCCCAAGGGGATTTGAGCACCTGCTGAGCCTAGGCCAGCCTTCTTTCACCCAGGAGTAGCTGGGGCTTCGCCAGGCTGTGGAGGTGAGGGTGGGAAGGAAGGCATAGGGCCCAGCACCTGGGCAGGGGCTGGTTGTAAACAGCCTGGGGTGAGAACTCAGGAGAGCGGGCGCACATCCCAGGCCAAAACATGTCTGGTGGCTTCTCCTTGCCCTCTCTTGCTCTCTTACTCTGCCACCCTATTGAGAGAGATGGTGGAGGCAGCAAGTTCCTCCTGTTAGCCTCAGGGTGGAGTCCACTCCATGAGTGCCCAGGAGCCCCAGAAGACATGAGTGCCACCTGCTACCTGCCATCCAGAGATGAGGTGGAAGACAGGGGCTTCCCTCCCTCTCTCCTTCAGCACACCCTTTGTGTTCTTCTCTTGATGAGGTACAGGAGGAGGGTCATCACTGGGGTCCCCAAAGCCTACAGAGGTATGGTCACACTCTGTTCCCCTCTGAGCAGCCAGGCATGGTCCTCTGGACTCCAAGGACACATGGGAAGGCTTAGGTCAGGAGGCTTGTGGGAACGACCACAAGTGTGACCCCTCCTGTCATTCTGTGGACAGCCTCCCCAGGGGACAGGGAAGAATGGAGACCCGGGTAGCAGAAGCCAGCCTTGGCTGTTAGGGCTGCACACACATGCACACTTCAGATCTCTTCTCAGTGTCCTTGGGGCTGCCATCACTGCAGTGGCCACCATCTCACGATCCAGGAGTAACCTTCCTGCTGTCCTCACTGATCTTCCCCCATTCTTTCATTCGTTCCACAGTTACTTACCAAGTAGGAAAACACAACAGAACATACTGTGTTCCAGGCTCTAGAATACGAGGCACGCAACGACGCACTGCCGTCGAGTCGGGTTCGACTCATAGCGACCCCTCCTTGGGTTTCTGAGGCGGTATCACTGTGGAAGTAGATTGCCCACCCTTCCTTCTGAGGAGTGGCTGGGGGGTTTGAATAGCCTTCTGGTTAGCAGTTGAGTGCCTTAAGCACTATGCCACTAGAGCTCCTTAGAATACCACAGTGACCCACAGTCCCTGCCTGCAGGGAGCTTGTATATATCCTGGTGAGGTGGGCTGAGTGCTACAAAGAAGAATGACACAGGTGAAGGGACAGAGTGATGGGGGCTGCAGGCAAGGCCTCTGGAGAGGGCACACTGGAGGGGAGACCTGCAGGGATAGGTGGAGATGGCCATTGCTCTCCAGGCGAGGGAGCAGGACAGAGCCTGGAGTGAGTGCATGCTTGGTCTAGGAGAACAGAAGGGAGGCCATTGTGGCTGAGGCAGCAAGCGAGGGGAAGAGTGGTAGGCACGAAACCAAAAAGGTCAGGCAGTGGTGGTGGGGAGGCCACCTGGGGCCTCGAGATGACCATGACTCTCACTCTGAGTGAAATAAGAGCATTAGAGGGTCTGAGACGATGAGTGCTGTAGCCTGGCTTGGGTTTGGAAGAGCTTGCCTTGGTTGCGGTGTAGAGAATAGACAAGGGGACGGGGACGGTATGGGCAAAAGCTGGGAGATGGTAGGCTGTTGCCATAGTCCCACTGAGTCTCGTGTGTCCTACCTCCCCAGGAGCCCTCTGCTCCGTCCTCTCCTCCCTTTCCCTCTCCCCATCCCTAAGAGTTCAGGAGAGAACCCTTAGGGTTGTTGGCCTGCTTCCTGCCACTCCTAAATCCAAAAAACAAACTCACGGCCATCAAGGCGATTAGACTCATAGCGACCCCTCCTTGGGTTTCCGAGGCAGTGTCACTACGGAAGTAAATTGCCCAACCTGCCTTCCGAGGAGTGGCTGGTAGGTTTGAACTGCCAGCCTTCTAGTTAGCAGGCAAATGCCTTAGGCACTATGGTACCAGAGCTCCGCCTGCCACTCCTAGAAGCCCAGTTTCTTCCCTTCCTCTCGTCACACGCACGCACACTTAGTGTCCTGGCCACTTTTCACCCATCTTGCAGGCTGTTTCCTTTCTTACCCTGCCCTTTGCTGTGCCCCTCTCACCCTCTCTGTCCTGTCTCGGTTCCTTCTTCATCCCTAACTCCTGCAGCTTTTGGTGTCTCCAGGAGCAAAGGCACAGGTCTTGTGCCCTAAGTGAGGGCTGTCCTGGAGCCCGGCATGCAGAAGATGTTCAAAGGCTCCGGGTTGTGGACGGCATCTTGGGACTTGGGCTAGTGTTTCCCCGTCTTCCTTGTTGTCCTATTTGTGCTTGGACCCTGGGGCCAGGGCTGGCTCATGGCCCAGAGGTCTGGGGCATCTCTAGGACCTTGGCCTGGCTGCCCTGGAGTAGGCCCTGAGCCAGTAACAGAGGGGCAAGGGGCAGGAGGTCAGGGCTATAGCCAGACAAGATTGCAGGGGAGAGGCTGGGGCCTAGAGTTTCAGTGGGGTTGGGGACTTTGGACCTTTGGGGAGGCTCAGAAAGACCAGCCCTCACCCCCATCCTTGCGTTTCAGACCTGAAGCTGCATCTGCAGAGTACTGACTACGGCAACTTCCTGGCCAATGAAGCGTCTCCGCTCACAGTTTCTGTCATCGATGACCGACTCAAGGAGAAGATGGTGGTGGAGTTCCGCCACATGAGGAACCACGCCTACGAGCCCCTTGCCAGCTTCCTGGACTTCATCACGTGAGTGTGCCCTGCAGTGCCTCCCTTTCCCACTCCAGCAGGAGTCGGCCCAGCGTGGGCTCAGGCCAGCTGCCTGGGTGCCTCTGTGCACCAAGCACTGCTCTAGAATCCTTGCCAGTTGTCACTTGAGTGACTGGGCTGTTGTTCAGTAGCCCTGGACCCCCGGGTCCCTGCCCATTGGGTCACCAGCATCTTTGCTGCTAGTCAAGGATGTGATAGGCAACAGTGGCCCCTGCTGGAGTGCTAGTCAAACCCTTTTCCCAGTGCCCGTGGAGTGAGATTGGGCTGTGGAGACCTGGGAAGATAGGAGCCCTTTTCCTCACTCACCCAACAGCACCCACTGAAGACTTGCCAGGAGCCCACCCCCATCCCTGTGTCAGGGGCTCGGGGATGGACAGGCTCTGAAGATGGGCCGTTAGGGCCTGCTGGCAATCAGAGCTAAGAGCCGTTCTCTGTCTGCTCATGGCCCTGGGTCTCGGGATTGAATTGGGGGAAACCAAACACCTGGCTACCTTTCCCAACTTTGGCATAATCCCCCAGGAGCCCAGATGGGCAAGCCCCAATGCTTATGACCCTTGGCTACTCGGCTTCCCACTGCCTGACCCTTTGGCACAGTCCTGCCTCTGCTCAGCTCCTAGAGCAGCAGAGCAGAGGAAAGGACCCTGGGGCCCACAGGCCACCACTGGGGTGGGACAGCCTGTTTGCCATGTGTGCCTGTAGAAATGGAGCTAGTGAGGAACCCTCCACAGGGATGACCCAGGAGCCAAGAGCTAGGGCCTGGTGGACAAGGAGATGGCCCCTGGCCAGATGGCTGCCCCACACAGGTGGTGAGCAGAAGAGACGTGATGGGTGGCTGCCTTCCAGGAGTGCCGGAGGGTGTGTGTGTGCCGGGAGGAAGGTTTCTAGGCACTCTCTGGGTACTGAGGAGCTTTGATCATTCCCTGATTACACTGCCCCCACCCTCCTCCTCAGGACCTGGCACACCCACACCGCTTGTCCTTACAGGGACAGGGCACATGCCTGCTGCCCAGCCTGACTCCCACCTTCGGCAGGGAACAGCTGCTTGCTCAAGATCCTGGGCGCTGCAGCCAGAAGGGCTCTATCCTCAAGCAGGAAGGAGACACCAAAGGGCTGAGAGAACCTGCCGAGGCTGGGAAGCAGGCCCTTTCCTGGCCCCAGGCCTCCTTCCCTGGAGGCCTCCCTGCTGGCCTGGCTCGCCCTGTACTCACACTGTTGACATGGTCCTACTGGGACAGAGGGTGAGATGGAGGAGTGTATCACATGCTGCCACATAGGGGGCCGCTCTGCGTACCCTATCGGTCATTTGATCCCTAGCCTGGGCCTGTGTGTCCCCTGCCCCAAGGTCAGAGCTGAGGACATACCAGGAAGCAGCACGTTTATTGCCAGAGCCCAGGCTTCACCTGCAGCTTGTTTGCACAAGGCTCCTTCAGCTTCCTGGTGAATGTTCTAACCTTGCCAGTGAGGCCAGGCAGCAGAGGGTAGATCCCATGCCAGTGGTCAGGGGCTATCTATCTACTGGTCATGTGCCCACTCCTGTGCAGCTAGCCCCTGGGCTGTCTTCGGTGCCCTCAGAGGCTCAGTCTGAGCCTCCCAGGCTGTGAAACCGGAGAGAGTTCTCAGGACGTCTGGGACTGCACAGCTGCCAGCTCTTTGCTGGAGGTTGGCTGCGAGCACCAAGTGTGCTTAAAGCAGCCGAGCATGATCCTGTGGCAGGCGGTCCGAATCTGCCACTTTCCCCGCCCCGTTCATTCATGGTGATTGTGACTCCCAGTCTTCCTGGCCACCTCTCTCCTGCCCTCACTCGGGAAGAGCCACGTGTCACCCGGTCTGAGCCTGTGGATGCTCCTGATAAGACCTCCTCATCTCCAGTGACCAGCTCCTCTGCTCCTCCACTTCAGCCACCCCCACCGATGGCTGCCCAAGGCCGTGTCACCACCTGGAACTGCTCCACCCTTGAAATCGCTGAGTCAGACACCCCGTGTCTCCCCACAGCCCTCGGCCCTCCAGCCCACTCTCAGCCCCTTGTGGGACATGGGTTCCGGACTCAGCAGGATGCCGAGCCGTGCTTCCTCCCCACTGCCCCTTCCATCTTCATTTCCTTCCCTCCCCAGCTGAGGTTCCCTGGTCCATCACTCGAATACTCCTTTGCCAATATCCGCAGCTCTCTTGGCCGCCTGTCTCGTGGTCCCGCCCGGCTGGCAGCCCCCCAGCCCTGGAGGAATCCCAGCAGCCTCCAGCTTGGAGACACTCTCCCTGACTCCACTGCTGGGAGCAGGGCCGGGGAAGTTGGCCCTTGGGTGGGTTATTCCTGCTGCCATACCTGGCTACCCAGCTGGCCTCAGCTTGTCACTGCCCAGCTGGCCTCTCACTCTCCCTGCTGAGCACCCTGTAGCCCCCAACAAGGATGGAGAGACCACCTCTCCATCTTAAGCACCATCCCTCTCCTCCCCCAGTCTCCTCTCTGGGCAGATGGCCCACCTCCTCCTCCACAGAGACAATAGAAGCCAACAGGCCTCTCAACACTGCATCTGCACCCCTACCTCGTTCCAATGGCAGAGGCGCCACCCCTTCTCCAGGATCTTTCAGTCAGTGACTTGGGTCCTCTCATCACCACCACCACCACGACCCTGAGAAGCCACTCAGACACCTTCTCTTCCTGATTATTCCTGTTAGCATCTAAACAAGCTTAAATCTCTCATATCTTTAAAAACTCATTTGGTGAGGCCCAAACTTTTACATTCACTTTTCTCTTACCTCCCCCTCACCCCTCGGGCCTCTAATCTTCTTCCAGCCATCCCATCACAAAACCCTGGCTGAAGTCACTCCTGACCTTCAGATGGCCAAGGTCTCTAGGCACTTGTTTAACCACTCTAGCTGCCTGCCCACCCCTTTCACTCTTCCCTCTAGCAGTTTCCTTCCTCTCATGGTGTCTCTCCAGTTTAACTCTTACCTCCCTGGCTGCTCTACCTCCTCCGCCCTACCCCCAGGGACAAAGGTGGCTGGGCATCCAGGTGTGAAGAGTGTTGCTGAAAGGGGTGAAGCCTACCATAAGGGCCTGTGTCGGCGGAGCTCCCCTGGGTCAGGGACTGAAGACTGGCTACCCTGAGGAGATGGCTCTTTGCATGAGGGGAATGGTATCTAAGGGAAGAATTTGGGGGAAGGGGTTGTAGGTTGCAGAAGCTACACCCGCCCTGAGCAGCTGGAGCATGGAGCCCCTGGCTCTGTGTCCCCAACAACAGCCTCCGTGTATAGCACCCCATCTAGGAAGGAGGCGGAAAGCCTAGAGACACCCAGTGGGATGTAACCAGAGAGGGGAAAGCGTGGTCCTCCAGGTGGTAGGAGTGGCAGTCACAGCCCCATCCTGGGTATGAGTGAAGACTTGAGGAAATAGTGCCATCACTGTCCCCAGACAAGCTGGCCTGTGCTCTGCAGCTTCAAAGGCTCTGCTGGGAAAGCAGCTGGGACTCTCACAGAGGTTAACTTAGCTCCATTCCTCAGAGAATCTCTTACTTGACTTTGGAGCGGCCCCAGATTGGCTGAAACAGGCTTCCCGGGAGGTGATGGGTACTGTGTCTCTGAGATGTGCTAGTAGAGGCTGGTCAAGGCCTTCCTGCCCTCCCATGTGAAAAAGTTGCCCACTGGTTTTGTAGAGCCTACCCAGCTTTCAGCCATCACAAGTGCCAGGAGGGAGATGCCTAGATGCAATGGGATAGGTGTCAGTGGTAGTGTCTGTGCCAGAGGGGCCTGGACACAGGTGGCTTCACAGGGTCAGGTAGGGTTAGAGAAGCAGGTGGCTGGAGTAGAGGTGGCTGCCTGGCCCTGAGGGAGAGGCTGCCCTGATGTATTATCGGTCATCTGATCTTGAGATGGCCTAGTCCAGTTGCATAGTAATCTAGCCCTGTCATTACCATACCAGGGGCTCCTGACAGGAAGGAGTGGAGACCCATCAGATCTGAGGAGTCACACCCTGTACAAATGTCTTGCTTCCCTCCATTACGAAAACATATAGTGGGTGGGAGGGAAAGTGTGGAGACCGTCACTGCCAGAGAAGCTTCCTGAAGGTGCCAGGCAGCAGCCCCACCTGGCATTCACAAGCACCTATTTGCAAAGTCCATGATGCTGAGCTGGGCAGCCAGGGTCCTGGCTATTCTGTCATCGTCCTCTGTGCAGGCTGTGTTCTCATGCTCAGTCTGGCTCCCCACTTCAGGGCTCAAGTGGCGGAGGCTCAGGACACCCACATTCTTGTTCTGCCCAGCCATTAACCTGCTGTGCAACTTGGGATAGAGTCTCTCTGTTAGGGTTTTTTGGCCTTGGAGGGTATCTTGATCTGAGCCATTCCATAGTGGTTTCCCATGGGAGAGTGGGTTCTGCAAGTGAAGCTGGGAGAGTTGCTTGGGGGAGCATGAGCCTGGTCTCTGGGAAAACCCAGGTAGGCAGAGCCCAAAAGGGCTTTGTCCTTAGATGAGTGAGCTGCCCTGGAGGTGGCCATGCCCAGGTATCCATTGGCAGACCCTGGCTGGGGCCTGATGGCAGCATATTTCCCTCATGCCAGTGGCATCAGTGCCACCAGCGTGGAGTAGGCATCTGGGAGGAAGCTGGCCTTAAGTGCCCATTGGACCTACCAGCCCACTTGCCATTCTCCCCTGGATTGCCCCAGACGTGAGCCCTGCTTGGTCACAGAGGAGCGTCTGGTTCCCCGGGCCTCCCTCTCTTGGCCCTCCAGCCCTCATTGGCCATAGCCGCTGTTTCTGGGTCAGTAGCCAAGTCCTGCTGTGTTGTCTGGGTCCTGGGCGAGACCTTGCTCCTGCCTTGAGGAAGAGCCATCACTGCTTGTTCTCCTGGACCTGGTGGGGGGACTCTGAGTAGGGGGAGCACCTCCTGGAAGCCCGGCTCCTCAGGGCCCAGAGAAGGCTCAGGGCAGGTAGGAGGATCCAGCCGGGCCTCTGGGGAGGGGCAGGGTTTGATGAGAAAGTCAGAGCCATACTAGCTCTCCTGTGGGCCTCATCTCATTATCCTGATTGCCAAGGGGAAACTGAAGCTTGAAAGATAATATGCTGAAGCCAAGGCTGATGTTTCTCTCCATTTTCCACTCTGGGAAGGACTCTGCAGGACCCCAAGGTGGTTGAGCACAAGTACTGTCACTGGAAGCCCCTGCAGGGAGCTGCCAGTGAACAGGCAGCTAGGAGTCCCTAGCCAGCATGGCTTCCTCCAGCAACGCCAGGCCCAGGTCATAGCTGAGGTGGTGAGACTGTGGAAGCAAGCCACGATGTTCCAGTAGGTGGCGCCAAAGGGCACAGGCAAGGGTTGGGGCTTGGCTAGGGGCTCTGGCAGGCTTCTTGGAGGAAGTGGCTTCCTAAACTCCAGTCTGAGACTTCGGCAGCCCCAAGCTGAGTCTCACACCATGAGAGAGAGCCTCTGGGCAGAGCAATACAGACTGTCTACCCCCACCCCCACCCCCCAAAGACCTCTTTGGCCTGGAGGGTAGCCGGCTGTCCACTCCCCAGCTGTCTTCTGGAGGGAGACGCTGACCAGCTGGAACTTTATTCTCTCCTGTTGAGGCCAAATGAGGGAAGGAATGGTGGAGTGGGTTTCTGGGGCCAGGGAGGCAGCTGCTGAAGTCAGGCAAGGAGGAGGAGTGTTTCCTTGCCTGCTGAAGGCCTTGACCTTGGGGAAAAGGCAGACAACGGGGCCTGCATCCTCTTTGCCAGGCCTGACCTGCCTTCTTTCTCCCAGAAAGAGAACTCTGGCGCCCACTGGGCAGGGGAGAAAAGCAGAGGGTGTGCCAGGCAGACCCAGCCTGTATAAGGGCTGCTGCACAGAGAACCTCATCGTCCCCTGGGTGAGGGCAGGGCTGGCTGGGCACTGGATTGCCTAGGCAGACCCAGCCTAGGTTAGACGTGGGCCTTGGAAGGGGCCAGGGTGGGGTGACAGTGAGTGACCCCTACTTGCCCTTGGTACCCCACCAAGGCTTCCAGGAGGAGAGGCTGGGGCAGCCAGGGGGTCCCAGGACTGGCCTCGTGCCAGCTGTCAGGCTGACAAGTGACTCGTGGGTAGCCTGTTCCACATCACTGGAGGGGCTGCAGCAAAGCCAGGCGGCGGTGTCTTCCCACGGGGCCCTTCTTCTAGGCTTGGGCCAGGCCCCTGAGGGCTGCCAAAACACCTCCCTTGGGCCCTGTCCCCAGTATAGATACCTTGCGTTGTGAGTGAGAGGTTGGTCAGAACTGAGGAGACTGGCTTGTGGGGATTCCTCAGAGAAGGCTGGATGGGGTGTGTGGAACCAGGGTGCAGTGACCTCTGGGCGTGGGGCCTACAGCTCCTGTGCCTTACTGTGTGGCATGGGCTAGTGCTGGCCTCCATGTTGTATCTCTTCTGACAGTGGAGCTGATGATACCGGTGGTTGTGGGGACTTGCAGATAAGATGGGCCTAAGGGGTATCTGAGGAGCCGTTGTGGTGCAGTAGTTAAGCACTCAGCTGCTGACTGAGGTTCAGTGGTTTGAAAAGACCTGACAGTCTGCTCCTGTAGAGTGCTGCCAGGGAAACCCTCGGGAACAGATTTACTCTGTCCTGTAGGGCTGCTAGGAGTCAGAATTGACGGCAAACAGCAACAACAAGGAAGGGGTGTGCAGTTCTCCCCCTCCCTGTCCAAAGGGTCTTGGGAGCGTAAAAGAGCATCTGAGCCTCAGGAGCAGTTCTCTGGGGCTGGCTCAGGAATCAGGATGACCGCTTTGGGGCTGGGTGGCGGCAGGTGATTCTTGAGGGAGCTGAAGTATGGAATGGCTGGTGAGACGCTGGAAGGTTCGAGAGCAGGAGGGGTGTGTCCAGGCTGGAAGAAGTTGCAGGCTGGGCTGGAGGCTCCGGGCACAAAGCCCTGGCGAGCGAGCTCTGGGGGGTCAGGCACGAGGCTGGCCATTTGCGCCTCTTGGCTCACAACCGTAAACGGACCCGGCTAAGGTCCTCAGGAGCTCTGGTGGCGCAGTGCCTAAGGCATTTGGCTGCTAACCAGAAGGCTGGTGGTTCAGACCCACCAGCCACTCCTCGGAAGACTGGGCAATCTACTTCCGTAGACATACTACCTTGGAAACCCAAGGAGGGGTTGCTATGAGTCAGAATCTACTCAATGGCAGTGAGTTTGGTTTTTTTTGGTTTGAGGCCCTCAGTTTGGGAAGGAGGGGGCCTGCCCCTTCTCAATGCACATCCTGTAGCTGACCCAGCTGAATCAGTGGTGGAAAGAGGGCAGCTGTCTGGCCTTGGGCCCAGGAGAGCAGGGCGCCGGGGCGGGTGGAAGCTAGGGTAATATACAACAAGCAGGGAGAGGCAGGGATCAGGCCAGGACAGGAGCTGTGTTCCTTCTGCCACCTTCCTTGAGGGTCCTGTGGGAGCTACCTCGGTGGCCAGCCCTCTGAGGTCTGAGGCCCTGGCCGCCACTTCCCTCCTTTTCTTCCCTCAGTGTTGGGGGCCACCCCATGCCAGTGATCATCCCTGGACACCCTCAGCACAGGGTGCTCAAGAGACTTTCAGGGCGAGGGCTCAGGTCAGGATACACAGGAAGCTAGGGCAGGGCCTGCATGCGAAGGTCAGGGTGGCAGCCTGGGCCCAGTTCTCACTCTCCCATGGGGGCCCCACCCAGGCCTTGGGAAACTCTCTCCACAGGCCTCACCTGAGTTTGTTGCGAGTGACAGGCTCGAAGAAGCTGTAGCTACTGCAGCCTGACTGTGGCCCTCTCCTCTTTACCCCACTCCCCACTTAGGTGTCGCATGGAACTTTCGTTCCAGCCCTTTCATAGCATTGCCTTGCTGGTTGAAGGTGGAACCTTGTCCCTGGGAGACAGCCCTACCCCTCCCCAGCTCCACAGCCCCCTCTGCTGCCCACACTACCACCTAGGGCTGGCCTTCTACGGCGCCGAGCGCCTCGGCGAGTCTCAGCTGACTGACTTAAGTCCAGCTTGCTGTCCAGGTCTCTGGGTCTCCTCCAGGACACCCTGGGCTGATGCCAGTCCTGGCTTTGGGCTCAAAGGGAGGAGGGCGGCTCTGTCTCTCGGGAGTGGGGCTCTGCAGGGTAGCTGTCTGCCTGCTGTCTCTGCCTGACCCGGGACCTCCCTCTCTGCGCTTCCCTAGGGAAACTGCTCCCCACCCTACTGCTCAGCCTTTCCTCCCCCTCCAGCTGCACCTCCCCGTCTCACTCCATCTGTCCCCATCCAACAGCCAGAGTGACCCTAAGTGGATCATGATGCCCCTGCTTACATCCCACGAAGGAGTCCCCAGCATCTCCACCTGAAGTTAGGACCCCCCACCCGGCCCAGGACCAGCCTCCAGGCCCTGTCCACTGACAGCATTGCCCTTTGCTCCTATTGATCCTGCTGGTGCTTGGTTCCTCTCATGCCTCTGAACTCAGTCTCCAGGCCTTGGTGCATATGCTTTCCTTTTCAGTCTTTTTACCTCTCAGGTACCGCCACCATCAGTGGGGCCGCAAGTCTCCCCTCCATGTGCCCACGGTTCCCAGTGTCCTGTTGTATACTCATGGGGCCTGAAGGCCCCCTCCCCACCCAACCAGAGGGTTTATGTCTGTCCTTTGCTCTGGATGTTAGAGTAGGGGACACATTGGGCAGAGTGGGAGATGAGCCAGTGGTGCTTACCAGTCACAAGTAAGCAGGCGTCATTGAAGGGCTGGTGGTCCGTGCAGCATGGGCAGGGCCATGGTGCTGGGCCAGGGCTTCCCCTACCCCCTGACTGTTCTGTGTTGCTTTGTGCCTCCCGTAGTTACAGCTACATGATTGACAACGTCATCCTGCTCATCACTGGCACGCTGCACCAGCGCTCCATCTCCGAGCTGGTGCCCAAGTGCCACCCGCTAGGGAGTTTCGAGCAGATGGAGGCTGTGAACATCGCGCAGACCCCCGCTGAGCTCTACAATGCCATTCTGGTGGACACGCCTCTGGGTGAGCCTCCGGGCTAGAGGAAGGATAGATGGGCCGGTGGGGTCAGTGCCAGTGCGTCCGGGTGGGGTTTGCAGACCCTTGAGGGGTGACCCTGAGCTGGAAAATGAAGCTTGCTCACTGCTGCTTACCATCTGCCTCCTCGGAACATCCCCTTCCCGTTCCCCTCTTACATCCCCTTCTCTCCTCTTCCTGGGCCAGTCAGGCCACCTAGGGCCTTACTCGGATCATGTAACTGTGTCCAACAGTCTGGTTTCTCAGAAGCAGAGGCAGGACTGAGCTCATGGAGAATGGAGAGAAAGGCCTGAATCCCTCGGCTGGGAGATCTTGGGGACAGACTGTGGTCCCAAGCTGGGGCCTGGGCAGGAATGGAGTGGCTGGCTTCCCACAAAGCAGAATTGAAGAGCAAACTGTTCCACTTGCTTCCACTGGGCAGGCCCCAGGGTCTGGGCGAGTTAGGTGGTGTTGGCAGGAGGCAGGGTCCATGTCACAGACCCAGGGAGGAAGGGGAACCGGGAGCTTCCTGCAGGGCCTTTCCTAGGGCGTGCTGACTCCTCCCTGCCTTGGAGGTTGTTGGGCAGAAGGTGCAGAGGCCTTAACCAGCTGGTGCCCTCAGAGCTGGGGTGCTGGGCCCTAAGACACTACCTCCAGGAAGTCACCAGAATTGAACCACAGGGCTTTGAGCTGCAGTAGGTCCTTAGCTGAGGGCAGAGTCCTACCTGCTGGCCTGCCTACCACTACAATGCTATGAAAGTGGCTGCCTACCACTGAGTCTTACAGTAACTCAGAGCTAGTTCTGGGCTAGTTGTCCCATCTTGAAAGAGGAGACAGGCCAATGAGTCTGCCGGCCCTCCTGGGGGGTGAGAGTGCTCTCTCTCCCTCCAGCCTGAGAAAGCCCCCGTGGAGTCACTGGTCCATGCCCACCAGCAGTCGGACTGTTCCTTGTCTTAAGGAGGGGAGGCTGGTTCTCCCAAGTGTGGGCCCCAGGCGCTCCTGGGGGATGGAGAGAAGCAGGCGCCAGGCCTGAAATCTACAGCTGCCCCTCTAGCAGGGGGAGTGGCCTGGCCTCTTATGCAAGCCTGTCTTTGGCATGGTTGGAGCTTGGGTCTGCCCCAGCGGCGATTCGGTCACACAGCCGGCCGCCTCCTTTATAAATCAGTTTTAGGAGCAAGGAGGCAGAAGCAGCCCAGGCCAGTTTACATGGCCCAGAGTGTTGCCTCTGCCACTTCCCAGGCCAGAGCTCAGGCCTGGTTGGGCTCCTTCCCTCCCTCGTCCCTCCTCCCTGTACCCAACCAGATGGGCCTGTGGTGGTGCCCTCCTCACCCTGAAGGGGCAGCTGAACATCAGCAGGGCCTTCACCTAGGCCAAGTCCACTGGCCCGCCCCTGACACCCTTGACTTTCCTGCCCAGCGGCTTTTTTCCAGGACTGCATCTCAGAGCAAGACCTGGATGAGATGAACATCGAGATTATCCGAAACACACTCTACAAGGTAGTGCACCACACCAGTGGTGGGGGATTGGCCTGTAAGCGGGTGGGGTCATGGGACGCAACGGGGTGATGATTTATGTGGGGTGCTGGGACAGGCCGCAGCCACACCAGGCATCTGTCCGGGAGGCTCACCCGCTCACTCTGCTCCTGTGATGGGTGCAAGGCTGCAGGGAACAGGTTCTCCATCCCATGACGCCCGCGGCGGGGCCCAGATAAGATCAGCAGGAGGGGCTGGTGCTCCGCACCCTGGCCTGTCAGAGCTGGCTCCTGGTCGGCTGCTCCCCCTGCACCCTGGAGGTCACAGGCCACCACCCAGACCATAGCCCTCAGGCTCACCCCTCCTGGGCTGCTGCCAGCAAGGACAGGCATTTGAGCAAAGGCAACAGTGCATTCGATTACAGTGGGGGTAGGGACTCAGCCAGGCATAACCAGGTCCCCGTGCCCTTTCAGGTTCCTAGGTCCAGAGCCAGCCCCACTTCCCACCATCCTCATCCCCTACTCTCCTTCTGCTCCCCACCAGGCTGTGGCACAAATTAGGTGTCCCCTGGAGATTAAGGGTAGGCTTGCAATTCCTGGGTTAGCACTGCCCAGCTCAGAGGTTAGGAGCAGGGATGGGAGCCAGGGAAGGGCGCTGGCCAGAGTTAGTCAGGGACATTTAGGACCAGGCTCTGGCCGTGATGAGGCCCTGAGCTGTGGTGCCAGGACCCCTGATGGGCTGCAGCCAAGAACGTGGAGCAGCAGTGGGCAGGCAAGCCCCAGAGAGGGGCTGAGGTTGGCACTGCCAAGGGATCTGCTCATTTGACCATCTGTCTGTCAGATCTTTCCAGTGAGGGGCCTCTCCTGCCAAGGTGGGAGCTAGCTGGGGGACACTGGGCTGAGGCCTGAGCCCAGGTTCAGTTCCAAAGGGACTAGCTGAGCAGAGCACAGGGCAGGGCTGGTGGGAAGCCCACCTGGAGGTTGCAATGATGCAGGCAGTGGAATGGCACCTACAGAGGGAGAACATGGCTCACCAGCCAATGGCAAGTGGCTTGCTGTGGCTGAAGTACAGGTTCTAGATGAAAAGCAAGGGAGAGGCCAGGAAGAAGAGGCAGGCTCAGACGTTTGAGCTGGGGGCAGGTCGGCCAGTGAAAGGCCCGCAGACTGTGGCCTGGAGGATGGATCCAAGGGGGCCGGACTAGAGGTACAAAGATCACTGGCTTCTTAGTCCTCAGGCCTCCCCAGGAGCTAGATGAGCATCACCGTCTCTATTTGTAAAATGAGGAAACAGGGCTCAGAGAAGTGGGCTGGGCTGCCTGAGCCACACAGCACCACACTGGCTGCACCAGGGCTCCTACCTGGCTCAGCCTGTTTACAAAGCTAGTGCTCTCACCCACCCTGCTAACAGGGAGGCAGGCCAGCCAGTCAGTCAGCCGAGTGTGTGTGGGGGTGGGTGTGTGCGGGGGTGGGTGTGTGCTTGTGCTCCTGGGGCTCCCACCCACCCAGCTGGCCCATTGCCGGGTTCCCTACCCTGAGAAAGGGTGAGGGGTGCGGCTGTCCCCCAGCCTCGCCCATACCCTCACCCTCACCCTCACCGGGCCTGACTGGTTCTAGCTAGAGTTGCTGGCGAGGGCTGCCTGGGCACTAGCTCATAAACATGGACCCAGTGCTGTGGGCACCGTGCCAGGGCCTCCTGCCTGTCAGACATCTCCCAGCCTAGTGGCCACAGATGGGAGATTAGGCAGACCCTCAGCCAGCTGACGAGTGGGAACTGTAACCAGCTGGTGCAGGAGCCACAGACTGGCCGACTCAAGGAGACGGGTGGGGTGGGGAAATGACCTTGGTACCTGGGCTTCTGGAGTCCTGCTGATTCTTAGCTGCCCTAACCTCCAAGGAGGGTCTGGGCCTATCCCACCAGACTCCCCCACCCTGGGGTCAGCCTTAGGGACCTGCACTAAGCATATGGGCTGGTGGCAGGGCATGGAGGTGTAAGGACCTGGCTGGTGGCTTCCTACACAGATAAGGAACTGCGGGCCCCACTTAGATAGTCCTGGGGGTTCAGGCCCAGCTGGTTTGGCTGGCCTTGAGGAAAGCAGTGGCTGGGGACAGGCTCCTAGAGAGACTGAACGACACCACTAAGCCATAGTGGGGCTTGGCAGCTCTCTCTGCCAACCAGACCCTCTGACCACTGGGAGTCCTCTGTGCTGGGGTCCATTCTCCTTTTCCTAGGTTTCTTCCTCTCTGACCTGCCCTCGACTTTTACTACTTGTAACCCCGGTGGTGACCCTCAGGCCTGAGCCAAGCTTGCCCGCTGCTGCTGGCCAGGCTAGCCTGGGCTCATGGACTCCTGGGTCTTCTCAGATTTCCTGTCTTAGGGAAGCAGAGCCTGCAGGCCCAGGGCAGCTGGTGGTGGGTGTAAGGTCTGTGCACCTTGAAGGGTAAACCACAGCTCAGAAGGCTCCCCGTGCCTCCTCAGCTCTCCCCTACGTCAGAGAATAGTCTTTAGCCTATGGAGCTGAAGTCCTTGTGACCATGCCACTGGATGGGACTGGAAGTGGAGGGGTCCATGCAAGGGAGCTCCCCACTGAAGCTCAAGCTCCCTTCCTTGGCTTATAGGAGTGGGAAGGAAGCCCATGCCTGGGCGGATCTGTGCATGAGTGCTGGGAGGCCTGGGCTGACACATCTTCCCCTCACGCCCAGCACATGCAGTTTGCTTGGGCAGGAAGTGCTTGTTCCCACCAGCAGCCGAGCACCTAGCCACTGACCCACACAGCTGACATCCTCGTTGTCAGTAACCATCCCTCGGCGGGATCTGAGCTGACGCTCTGGTTTTTGCTGTGTGCTGCCCAGGGGCTGCCTGAGGCACCAGAGGAGTTTTTCTCTGGCATGGTACAGAGTGGGCCAGGGGCTGGCAGATGTCCACCACCCACCCTGGCTGTCGCTGTGAACTCTCGGGAGTACCCTGCCCTCACTAACCGGTGGACACCATGGGCCTGGCTGGCTGAGGAAGAGGGAGTTCAGAGAGATTTGGTAGAAGGCAGGCAGAGAGAGCAGCAGGGGTAAGGCAGGGGGTCCCTCTGAGCAGTGGGGGGCACTGTGCCCTGAAACAGATGGTCAGCCAGAAACTGCCCTGTCACTCCTGGGTGTCAGGCGGTAAGCCTCTGCTACTTGACTTACTTGCAGTTGGAATTTGTGGATTTTCAGGGGCTTTGACATGAGGGCTGCCCTGGCCCATCTGTCATAAAAAAGGCTGGGGAGGGGGAAGGAAGTGGGAGAGGGAAGCCTACAAGCCCCCAGATCCTCTCTGCCTGGGCTCAGCAAACCCCCCGATCTACACAGGCCTACCTGGAGTCTTTCTACAAGTTCTGTGCCCTGCTGGGCGGCACCACGGCCGATGCCATGTGCCCCATCTTGGAGGTGAGTGCTGGTCTTCCTCCCTGCTGGGTGCCCCCCAGCTCAACTCGGGGAATGCCCTGCCCACTGACTGACCGCTGCCTCCCTCTCTCCCTGCTGCCTGCACACTGGCTCCCCAGTTTGAAGCCGATCGCCGGGCCTTCATCATCACCATCAACTCCTTCGGCACAGAGCTGTCCAAGGAGGACCGTGCCAAGCTCTTTCCGCACTGTGGGCGGCTCTACCCTGAGGGCCTGGCCCAGCTGGCTCGGGCTGATGACTATGAGCAGGTTAAGAACGTGGCTGACTACTATCCGGTGAGTGCCTTGGCTGTCAGGTTCTGGGTCGGCATGTGGGCACCGTGCCCTCCCCAGCAGCCCAATGTGCTCATGCTTCCCACCACTCTCCCTGGGCCAGGAGTACAAGCTGCTCTTTGAGGGTGCAGGCAGCAACCCTGGAGACAAGACACTGGAGGACCGATTCTTTGAGCATGAGGTGAGCGCAGGGCACATTAGGGCCGGCCCGTCGTGGGGAGGGTAGGTGGTCATGGCCACTGGTCTGGCACCCCTGCCCCTGTCCACAGGTGAAGCTGAACAAGTTGGCCTTCCTGAACCAGTTCCACTTTGGTGTCTTCTACGCCTTTGTGAAGCTCAAGGAGCAGGAATGCCGCAACATCGTATGGATCGCCGAGTGCATTGCCCAGCGCCACCGCGCCAAGATCGACAACTACATCCCCATCTTCTAGCGCCCTGACCCAAGGCTCCCCACGAATGCACTGCGTGTGTCTACATGTGCTGTGACGAAGCTCTGGGGAAGCAGCTGCCCAGCCTCCCGGCCCTCTCGGAGACTATCCTTGGGTCTGAAAAGGGGCTGCGCACCTGCTGTGCCCTCCCAGGACGGACCAAGCCCTCTCCAGAGCAAGGAGGCCCCTTAGCCCTGTGTTTACAGCCACTGACATGTCTGAGAAGCATGTGGTCACTTTCATGCCCCTCCCTAACCTGAGGAGCCCTGGGGCAGTGTGAGCCCCCTCTCTTCTCTGTGTGTCGCCCTCATGCCCCGGGGAAGGACAGAATGTGTGTGCGTGTGTGTGTGTGTGCTGGAGAGCTGGGGGACGTCGCACCACACCCTACTCCTTGAGCCTCATTCCTGAGATAATAAAGCTGCCCTCTCTGAGCCCATCTGCTCTCTCCTTTGGGCTCTACTGCCTCTCCCAGACCCCCATCTTCTCTCCTTACTCTTCCTTGCTGACCCCACCCCTGAATGAGCCTTCTAACCCCCTCTCTCAGCTGACAGCCCCAGGTTGGCCTTCTCCCCTGGCTGCCTAGATTCCTTGGGGAAGGGGGGTCTGGTGGATCACCACTGCCTCTGCTGGAGACTTAGATAGAGAAACAGGCCTATGGAGCTCAGGCTTGGCCTGGAGGGCCCCTGGCTTCCCTATTCGTTGAGCCCCTCCAACTTTCTGAGGCCCCCATATCACTATGAGGCAACCCAAACTGTGGATTAATGATTTCTTCGAGGTGGGTGTGGGGCGTAGAGGAATGTGAAGCACAGTCTGCCAGGGAGCCTGGTGAGGTCAGTGCCCAGCACCCTGGCCCCAGACTGAGCCTGAGGACCTCCCTAGGCAGTCGCTTCAGTCACACAGCCATACCCTGGCATCCAGACAACTAGGCACTCACCCACTCCAAACCCAGCATCTCCCTGGTTCTAGGAGAAATAAAAATGTCTCTTTATTTAAAAAGTGGCTATCTAGCAAGTAGGGTATACAGCCTCCCTGTGGCTCGGGGGCTTGGGGTGGATGGTTGGAGGCCTAATTCTTGAACCAGTCAAGAGGCAGTTGGGATTCACCCTTAGAATCTCGGCACTGAGAGGGTCCCCAGCCCACCCAGTCACGCTGTGGTTTGCAGAGGTGCTGTGTGGGGGGGTCCTGTCAAAGGCTGCACTGCACTGCACTCCCCATCCGTGTGGCAGTGGGGCATGGTGCTCAGAAGGGTTGATTTGGGCTCACGAAGCAGTGGAGAGGCCTGGAGCCTCCCTGCAAAACCTCAGCCTTGCTGGGCCTGGGATGGGGCACCCAGCAGCCCATGGGGCCACACTCTCTAGGGTGGGCTTTAGGACAGACTTAGGGGCTCACAATATCCGGGGGAGGGCCAAGGGTTCATGGGGCCTCCAGTGCAGGAGCAGCTGGGCCGTGTGTGCCTGCTCACCGGTCGGCAGCTGGGGAATGGCCTGGGGTCGGGCTTGGGTCTGGCGCTGCGTCCTGGGTGGGGGCGGGGCCGGGCTGGCCTGGCCGCAGCGCACGGGGCAGACAGGGACTGATGAAGAACGTCTGCAGGAAGCGGCGCCGCAGGCCCTCCGGCAGGTAATGATGGATAAAGTACATGAGCCCCAGGCCTCGGCCCGGGTAATAGCGGCGCCGAGGCTGCGCTGCCAGCAGCGCATCAGTGATGGCGTCTACAACGGGACTGAGGTCAGGGAGCGCCAGGCGCAGCGAATGCAAAAACTGCCCGTGCAGGTGTTCGATGTAGTCCTCGCCATAAGCCTGCAGCAGCTCTCGGGGCAGGTTAGCCAACAGCAGACGCTTGCGAATCTCCCACCGACCCTCGTTCAGCACAGACTCTGCGGAAGGAGATCAGGCCACGCCTCCAGCTAAACCCACGCCCACTCCTCAGCCTTGCCCCTGCCCCAGATAAAACCAAGGGCGCCCTTCTTCTCCACCGTCTTGTTGTTGTTGTTGTTGTTGTTATGTGCCGTCGAGTCAGCCCTGACTCATAGCGACCCCTCCTTGGGTTTCCGAGGCAGTATCACTATGGAAGTAGGATTGCCCAACCTTCCTTCCGAGGAGTGGCTGGTGGGTTTGAACCGCCAGCCTTCTGGTTAGCAGGCAAGTGCCTTAGTCTTCTTGTTAGGTGCCATCAAGTCGGTTCTACTCATAGCGACCCTATGCACAACAGAAAGTAACAATCGCCTGGTCCCGCATCACCCTCGCACGTTGCTGTTTAAGCCCGTTGTTGAGGTCACCATGCCATCCATCTTGTTGAGGGTCTTTCTCTTTTTCCGCTAACCTTCAGCTTTACCAAGCATGATGTCCTCTTCCAGGGATTGGACCCCATCGGAGACCCCACTAAAACCTCTATTACAGACCCTGCCCTTCATCTGGCCCCACCGCAGGCCTTGGCCCTTACCTGTCTTGAAGCAACCAGGCTGGATGACACTGACTTTGACCCCCCAAGGCAGGAGTTCACAGCTGAACGTGTCCATGAGCAGCACCATGGCCGCCTTGGAGGTCCCGTAAGCCGCCAAGCAGGGATATGGCATGTCTCCTGGGGGTGAATTGGAGGGCAGAGCAGCAGCTTAGCCTTGGCAAGGGGCTCCCCCAGGCCTCCCTCACCCCATGGTTACTGTTCCCCTCCAGTAGGAAAGGAGACTCACCAGCCGGGCTGCCCACAGTCACGATGCGACCCCTGGAGCGGCGTAGCAGCGGCAGGAGGCCCTTGGTCAACTCAAGTGCACCAAAGAAGTTGATCTCCATGCAGCTTCGGAATGTGGCCACTGGTGACAACTCCACATCGGCCACAACGTCATTGTGGCCCGCATTGTTGACCAGGCCCCACAGGCCTGAGGGCACAGAGCAGGGAGGTGAGTGGCAGGTCAGCCCAGGAGTGACTCTCCAATCCCTGCCCCCCTACACCCACTTAGCCACACCCTCTCCCCGTGGGTCCCATCCACTGACCAGTGTTGGAGGTGTGGGCCTTGGTGAATTCCAAAACACGGCTAATGTCCCCTGGCTTGGTCAGGTCCATCTGCAGCAGCTTTAGGCGAGGGGAACAGCAGGCACGCAGCTCACGGGCACCAGGGCCATCCAAGTCCAACACAGTAGCCAGCACCATGAAGCCCATGGTGTCCAGTTGCTTGGCTGCCTCCTTGCCAAAGCCAGTGTCACAACCTGGGCAAGGTAGGGCAGCCAGTCAACTCCTACTGTGGCCCAGGCCAGCCAGAGACAACCCCAGGGTTACGAGGATCACCAGAGTCAAGATGCGAGCTAGGCCCCTGGACACCCAGCCCAGGAGCAATTGGCAGCTCTCCCTCCTTCCTAAGCCCATGCTGTCAGGCTCTGTCATCCCTGTGGCCGAGCACCTACAGCACCAAGTCCTTCCCAGCTGTCATCCCCCTGACTCCCACAGCTATCCCATCAAGGATGACTGAGGATCTCACTTTGCAGATAAGAAAACTGAGAGCAGCGATGTTAAGTTCCTTGTCAAAGCCACCCAGCCGGGGAAGAGTAAGGTCAGGACTCTATCCCAGATGGGCCTGAGGCCCACTCCCAGCCCTGATGTCCTTCTGCTGTTCGATGCCAGGTCCCAGCACCCATGCACACAGCATTGCTGCAGCCTCCCTTCCTTCCTCACTGCCTTTGTCCAGGCTTCTCCTTCCTGAACCAAGATGCTGAAGCAGCCCCCCCTAGTCCTGTCTCATCTTACCCTGTTGGATCCACTCTCTATCTAGCAGCCAGAGGGACCTTTCCAAAAATGACAATATCTTTCTGCTGTTCAAAACCGTTCCAAGGCTCCCCACAGCCCTCAGGAAGAAGCCCAAGCTCTCAGCTCTTCGGGTCCCAGATACCCTGATCCCCATTCCCTTCCCACCCTTCCTATCCCCTGCTCTTGTTCCAGAGTTCAGACAAGCAGGGGGCCCACCACCACCTCATCCCTGACCTCTACCCTTGGAATTCCAGTCCGTGGCGACAGTGGCAGCTTCTCAGAGCCCTAGACCACTTGCCTCTAGGACAGGGACCGTGTGATAGAGTAAGAATAGAACAAACAGGCATTTGAATCCCTTTCTACACCCACCAAGCTAGACCTGAGATCAGTTACCACTCTTGGAGTCTCCATTTCCTGTCTTGGGTGAGTAGTGAGAGGAACCAGCAGGTAGAGGCAGCGTGGAGGTCAGTGGTGAGTAGTACCTGATCAGTGCCTGCTTCCTTACTTTTTCTGATCCTGGCTCTGGGGGCGGGGCCCAGCGGGGGGTGGGGGGGAGGCCATGGAGAGAGGAGGTTCTGGGAATCTGCCCCCGGGGGTCCTGCTGAGCAGAAGCCAGGGAGCACTCTGCTTCCCCTCCCCTGGACAGCTCAGCCCCCTCCCCATCTCAGCCCACCCCTCTGCAGAGGCAGAGAACAAAGCTGGGTGGGGGGCTGCAAGCTGGGCTTTGTCCTGAGGGTCCTTCTGGGGCCAGTCTGGTTGGGGGAGGGGAGTGAGCACGTGTGTGTCCGCTGGCCTCAGCTTCCTCCCAGAGCAGTTTCTCCATCACGGGAAACTGAGGCCTCCCAGAGCCTCAGCTCTGTGGCCCAGACACAGTCACCCATGCCTTGCACTCTCTTGCTCACCTGCACACACTCAGATACCAGTACATACCTCCAAACTGCCTGGACATTCACACTCGGGCTCACACTCACCAGACCCCCATCAGTGCACACATGTCCACGCGCATGCAAACCCACTCACCCCAAACCCTGACCCCGTGGTTGAGCCCTAAAGAGCTGAAGAGCCTGGGTCAGCTGTTCACTGAGGCATTCTCAAGGAGGGGTGGGTGGCATCCCTGGGGAAAATGGGACACAGTGCTCTTGGCACGTGACACAGGGCCTGGTCACCTACTTGTCCTGCAGCCAGGCAGTGAGAGGGAAAACCATAGAGTGTGTGGACGTGGGGAAAACTGGAAGCCTGCTCCGCCTCCTTGTCCAGGAGTGGGTGACAGTCCCCCCCCACACACACACACACATACATACCTCCAGGTCTTTCGGCCAGAGATGGGGGCCCCAAGTCACGGAACGTATCCCCTCCCTCACCTCACGGTCAGGCTCAAAGGTGGCAAAGTAACAATAGCAACACAAAAACCTGAGGTGAGGTTTCAGCAGAAACTGCCAGCTGGGTCCCTAGAAACCTGCACATGGCCTGTGTCCTGCTGAAGCAGCTCACAATTAGAAGGCAGCTGCCCTGTCCCTGGGGACAGAGCCCACAACTCAGTCCCTGCTTCAGATCAGGAGGGTCTGCCCTTCCTTCCTCAAACCTCTGAAATGGGAGTCTGCCAGAGCTTCATGCCCTGAATCTGGGTCCCTGAAACTGGGATTCCCTCAGGTTGCACACTGCACCTGAGTTTGGGTGTCTCTCATCCAGCCTGGGACTGCCTCCTCCATCTTAATCCTCTTTGCTGAAGCCCAAAGCCCTCATAGTCTTCTTACCTGGCATTCAAGGCCCCTTCTCAGGAAATACCACCTCACATCCCACTGCACTTCCATAGCCAGGCTGGTTACTGACTGTCTATCCCCTACCCAGGCCACACACATTCCTGCCTTGAGCTTTGTTCCACATCCTTTATTTGATCCCAAACACTTTCCCCACTCCACCTATCTCCATTCATCCTGAGGGCCAGTTCAAGGATCTCCTCCCAGCCCCACCTCCCAACCAGTCATGTGGGGCCCCTACTAGATGAGGTCTCTGAGAAGTCAGTTTGGTGCCTGCCTCCAGTCCAGGCCCAATGAAAGGACACAGCCCACAGCACCTGCCCAAAGCCATGGGGTGGGAGGAGAGACTAGGCTGCCCCTCCTCCCATGCAATGGAGCCAGTGCCCCCTCCAGAGGAAAGCCCCTGGCCCTTTTCCCCCTCCCCACTTCCGGCTGGGCCTCCAGCCCCCCTTCCCCTTCCTCGATCTGGTGACAGATTTATTCCTCACTCCAGACAAAGGGAGTTCAGCCAGGCGGCTGGAGGCACCTGAGCCCAGCTCTCCAAGACCTCCTTCCTGGGCACTGAGGACCAGGTGGGGGACGGGGCACTGGGGACTGAGCGCAGCTCTGGACCACTTCCTCAGCAGGCTGGGGAGAGGGCAGAGAGGGACCTGAGAGACGGCCGAATGCCCAGGGCCCCTTCCTGGTGATCTCAAGCTTCCCTGAACGTCAGGGATCCTAGCCGAAGCGGGTGTCCCGGCTCCCCATCTAAGCTCCTTCCTCTACCCCAGACGAGAGATGGGGCATCCCACGTGGGATGTAGGCAGAGGTCAAGGGGTGACCCATCTCAAACCCTCTGAAGCCCCTCAGAACACTGTCTCCTGGCTCTAAGATGGCTCTCTTGGGGAGGGGCACCGCAAAAACCTCTAAAGCCCCAGGAGGGAGCCCCTTCCTCAGCCACCAGTTAACCTCCTCGCACCTGCCCACTCCCTGCCTCACTTTCTCTCCAACACTCCCCATAGCGGCAGGTAGGAGTAACCCGGCCTTAGGGAGGTGCCAGGAGCTTCCTGCGTAGCTCGCTCCCCGCACCCTGGGAGGGAGGACTGTCCCACGCCGCGTGCGCTGGGGAACCCGTCTCAACCGTGCCCACGGGGAGCCCTCCGGGTGCTCAGTCCCGCCCTGGAGCCTGAAGTCCCCGCGCTCCGCGCACTCACCGGTGATGAGCACCGCGCGAGTGGCCACGGGCAGGCGCGGCGGCCGCGCCAGGCGGGACAACGCGATCCAGCCGGCAGCGGCCAGCACGGCGAGCGCGGCCAGCGGGGGCAGCAGGCGCTGGCACAGCCAGTCGAGCACGGCCAGCAGCGCCAGAGCCGCCAGCAGCGGGCGGCCCAGACGCAGGTCTGCGCGAAGCAGCTGCAGCAGCGCGCGGGCCGCCACGAGCAGCCAGGCGCCGCCCGACGGCCAAGGCCAGCGCTCCATGGCGGTCGGGCTGGGCTAGGCTGGACTAGGGCAGGGGCTCGGCTGGGGAGCGGGAAGCGGGGCGCGGAGCCGGGGCGCGGGGTGCTGCAAAGCACTGGTTTAGGGAAGGAGGGATACTCGCTTTCTCTGCTCGCCCTCGGGCCGAGAGTATAAAGAGCCCCGGGGGCGGGGCGAGGGCGGGGCGGGGCGGGGCTTGCCTCCACGTCTGTCCCCGCACCCCCTGCCCGGGCAGGTGCCCCCCCAGCCTCGCCCCCGAGCCCAGATCCGCTTTCGAAGAAGCCGGAGCAAAGTCACAAAGTTGCTGCGCGCTGAGGAGCCGCCTCGCCGCGGGCATCGCCGGGGAAGCGCTGGTCGGTCCGGCCCGTGTGCCCTGCACTCGCTCACCCCTTCGCCCACACACACGCACCCTGGGCCGCTGCACCGCGGCTCTCAGGTGAGCACACCCAGTTCACACTCGCTCGAGACACTTGAGGACACGCACAGTCTCCATGCAGGCTCCGCACACCGACAGCACCGCCGGCCGCCGGAACGCCGGAGGGAACCAGTCCGCCCTCCCCCGCCGCTGGCAAAGGCTCCACGCTCACGCCATGCGCTCACGCCATGCTCCCTCGCGCGCACATACCTGGACGCGTGCTCTCACCTAAGCTGCCTGCGGCCACAAAACCAACCTAAAGCGCGGGCTGGATGACCGCCGGGATTCTTGGGGTCCTGTGCCTCGCCCTCCTGCTTCCCACTGGGGCCCAGCCCTGGGGGGTGCAGCGATCTCACCTCCTCCTGCCACGCAAATGTCTATAGGTGGGGTGAGTGGATGGGGAGTCAGGAAACTTCTAGGCCTGCAGTTCCCTCCAGCCCATCCCCCACTCCTGACACTCCAAGGGCCAGATCCATGAGGACACCTGGGAAGTCAATGAGGGGGGCATCCCCAGGGCCCAGTGTGCCTTGGCCCATGGGAATAAAGTGAGTGGACATGTGGACACATGTCCCTGCCTGAAGGTCCGTGTTTGTGTGTGGCCTGGCAGCCCCCCACCCTGCCCACCCCTGTGTCTGGCACCCTATGCCTGGCATCCCTGCCAGGGCTCTGCTAGGCACTGGGAGTTGGTGCCAGTACCTGGCTTCCAGGCACTCTACATAGGGGAGTAGGTGCGGTCCATGACAGAGGGGGTTCCTGCTTCCTGTGGGCCTCCAGGCCTTTCCCAGTGCCTTATCCCTGCCCTCTCTAGGTTCCTCTCTAGGTCCTGGAGTCCTTGTCACCCCTCTTGGCCCTATCCTGGTGCTCACACTCTTTCTTGGGTGCCCAGGCTCTGTGCCTGGGCTGCATGGTAGTATCTCCTCCAAAGCCTTCTCTGCCATCTAGGTGTTCCCCATGCTGGCCAGGAAAATCTCAGGGAGGGCCTAGGAGACAGACCCACCCACATGGAGAGACTCTAGGTGGAGGATCTATCTTGGGCACTCCTGGGCTCCCACCTATCCCCCTACCCATCAGTACAGATGACAGGCTAGCCCTGGGCTTGCCTAGGGAGGGTGTGTGCCTGACCTTGGGTACGTGACCTTGTGTACCTGTGTGTATATGTATTTGTGTCCAAGGGGCACCATAGCTTGTCTGTGCAAATATGGTTATATTTCTCCCTGTGCCATGACCCTGCATATAAGTACATGGAGGTATGTTGTGTATGTTGTATGCATTTTCCATGACTCTCTGGCTTTCTGTCTGGTTCATCTGCTTCCAGAAACTCAGGGACTCCTTTTCCAAAACCCACTGCTTCCTGTTGTCCTGAATCTCTCTCTCAGGCTCAGAAGCGGACCCTGCACCCTTGGCCTGGCTTCCTGGTTTGAGCTGCAGAGCATGGTTGGATCCCCCACCTCCAGGTACCTCACCTGTAGTCTGGCTGTTGCTTTTCCAGCCTCAATCCATCAAAGGCTTCCCCTTGGAGCTGGGGAGGGGGCTGGAAAGTGGGAGTCAGGGCAGCCTTCAAGGCCAAGGCCACACAGACAGTACCAGCTCTTGCCAGAGCAGGAATTCAAGGGCAGTATGGTGGGGGAGGGAAAGCAAGGTGAGGACAGGGATTGGGAAGCAGGGTCCAGGACTGTCTTGTGAAGGAGCTATGAAGAATCTTGATTCACAGGGAAGCCCACGGTGGGGAGGCAGAGAGAGGGCTTGCCTTTGGGTCTGGAGTATATGATGACTAGAAGGAGGGGAGGTTTCCAGCTCAGCTTTTGGGACTCTGTGACACCTTGGGTAGAACCATTAGTCTTGTGGGTTTGGTTCTTGGGACTGGATGATCTGCCACATTTTTATATAAACTGCCCCCTTTTCCAGCCCCATCGTGCCAGGAGGCCAAGGCCTCCTTATTCCCAGGACCTGTGCTCTAGCCTCTTATGACCTCCTCGGGCCAATGACCCCTGAGCCTCATCAGGTGGAGATGCTCTGGAAGTACAAGGTGGCTCTAAAAGTAGGTGGTGGTTCTGGCAGTCACGGCTGGGAGGGGCCGGCCCAGCCCTGTCGGAGGCCTGGTGCCAGGTAGCGCCTGCCTGGGGCCAGAGAACCCGCCTCTGCGAGAACCAGGAGCCTGGGCTGGCAGGGGCCCCCAGGGAAGAGACGGGGAGGAGGGTGCAGGTGCCCCAGGAGATAAGGCAGGACCTGGCAAAGAGCGAGGAATGAAGGGCAAACCAAAGGAGCAGAGCACTGAGCCACCCCTGCCCCTAAGCTGTCAGCCACGGGTCTCTCTTAGTGCTTTGCCTGTCCCCTTGGTCAGAAACCTGACCGTAGGGCTTGCTGAACTCTTAGCATGCCCCATCCTCTGGAGGACAACTCCTGCATTGGGGGACTTGCCAGTTGGCTCTGGTCTGCTCCAGCTGAGTCCAGTGGCTCACTGGCACCATCTGCTGGCCATTTAGGGAGAGCATGGTTCTGAAGGTGGACGAGGCTAAGTGATTGCTAGATCATGAGGGGAGCGGAAGTCTGGGGTGGGGGGAGGGTGCCAAGCGAAAGTCTCCAAAAGCCTCCACAGCTCTGTCCTCTTACCATACTAGGGTTACGGGCTAGCCAAGGGCTCCCTTACCACCTCCTCTTCCCTCTGTGGTGCAGCTCAGAGGCAGCAGAGTTCCGAGGAGGCCCTGCCCTATACCTAGCTCACCTGGCCCCCTCCCCCCTGCAGGCACAGTGTGGCACCTCTCCCTGCCAATGACAGAAGCCCATCCCTCCTCAAAGACAGCAAACTTTTATGGCGCTCATACTGAGGGCCAGGCCCTGTGCTGGGCACTGTGGGTGTGGCAGCTAAGCACAGGTGCCTCCCCAGCAGCACGAGCATGGCCTCTGGCCTCCTTCCTCAGTGACCACAGTTCAGTCCTATGTGCCTTCCTCAAGCGTTGTTCTTGAGCTTTTTCTCCATGTCAGCCATCGTTCTCCAGTGTGGTCCATAATCACTATCTCCACTTCTCCAATCCAGCCTAGCTTCAGCCCCCACCCCATGCCCTCACCAAAGGTCACCAGTGAATGACCTTTTAGTCTCCAGATCCCATAGGCACATCTCTGCCATCAGCTAACTTGACCTCCTCAAAGCCTCTGCCCTGCTGGCCACCTCTTTGTTGCCCCAAACCCTTCCTCCCTTTGGTGCCTGTGAATCCACCCACTCCGGGGTTTCTTCCTGCCTCTCTGGCTCCCTCAAGCCTCCTTTGAGAGCTCCTCTGCCGTGTGGGTGAACCTCTGACCATGGAAGACTGTTACTCCTCCCGCCCCTCCTCCCCACCATGAGCTCATCTTCCGACTCACATGTTAGCAACTCCCATGTTCAGTCTCCAGCCAAGGCCTCACTCTGAACTCCAAGCCCATGTGTCCAGCTGCCCCTGGACGCCTCCCTGGGATACCCAAGGGCCTTTACACTTAGCATGTCCAAAACTGGCCTCATCTTCTTCCCCAGTTCTGGCTACCATCCCCTCCCCACCACATCCTCAACTTCATTCTATGCACCAAACCCCCTTTCTATCCCAATCCCTGGGCTGGGTACAGAGACCTTTATGTTGTTGTTGGGCGTCATCAAGTCAATTTCAACTCATCGCGACCCCCATGAGACAGAGTAAAACTGCCTCACAGGGTTTCCTAGGCTGTAAATTGCCAGGTCTTTTCTCGCTTGGAGCCTCTGGTGGGTTCAAACCACTGACCTTTCGGTTAACTGCTGAGTGCTTAACCATTGCACCACCAGGATGCCTTATAGCCTTTTATAGTAGCAATTGTTATCACCATTTTACAGCCAAGGAAACTGAGGGTTGTAAAGGTTAAGAAAATTGTTGAAGATTACCAATTTGGGTACCCTTGAGTTTGAATCTTGGACCAGCCTCAAGGCTCAAATGCCTGGGCTCCTGAGAACTGTTATAACGCAGGGCCGGGCTAGCCTCATGCGGCCTCTGAGACCTTATTCTGAGGGCAAAGGAGAGCCTGGGAATGACCTCGAGCAAATGAGCCCCTCTCCTAGTGGCAGGGAATGTTTTGAAGAAGGGGATCAGAGTGGAGGTCAGAGAGTCCTGTGGGTGCATCCAGGTGAGAGACAGAAACAGATCTGTCTCAGGCAAACTGAGCCTGAGGTGCCCGTGAACTTGAAAGGCCTAAGGCCTGGAGGCAGCTGGATGACGCTGGTCTCCAGCACATGACTCCTGTAGCCTGGCAGCCGGGGAGCTCACTGATGCTGACTGCTCAGCTACAGTGTCTGAGGAGAGGGGACTATGAGATGCAGGAAGCCCGGAGCATTCACAAGCTGTGTCCCAAGCTATGTCTGGCACCCTGCTCTGCACCGCTCCTTGCTGTCTCCAGGATGGACGGCAGATGTTTGAGCATTGGGGCCACTGAGTTTGGGAAACACTGAGAGAATGTGCTCTGCAGGGTTTTCTGGATGGGCCCCAGGGGAAAAGTGAGCCTCCGCTGAAAGCGTTTAGGGGCGAGATTGGCTGACTCCGGGGCTTCCCAGCCCTCTGGCGCCTGCAGGGTGGCTCTCAGTTGTTAACAACCC